GGGAAAGAAGAAGAATCTGGATTTTTAGAGGAAATTTCCTCCACTCTTTCTGATGTCCAAACTTTGAGTTATGAAGCAGTTGGAGCATTTTTTTTCCTACACAGCAGAATGTGATTTAGTACTTCAATTAATATTTGGCTCCAGACTGCCCATTTAATGGATGAAGCTACTTTCAACAAACAAGAATTGCTACATCTAGGAGACTCAAAAATGGCGATTTATGAGGAAGAGCTTGTTTCTAACACAATTTGCAGACTCAGAGAGTCGAATGCTTCTTTCATTTTGAAGTTGGCAATCATAGATATCACTGGGTTTTAGCAATCTGTGTATACTCTTATCAAGTTGCAAAGCGTAATTGTGACATAATACTAACACAAAATTAAAGCACAGCTTATTGCTTTGTGCATCTAGTAGGCAAAATTGAATTGTTATATCAAGTAGACTTCTAACAGAACTATTTAAATGCTGGGGAGAATGGTGTTAAACCCATGTCTTTAAGTGGAGTTTTAGGTGATTCCCTCCTGTACTCATTCTCCAAACAAGTTTAAAATCTAAAATTGCTTTTAACTCTGTTTTGTGACTTGAATGACTTAAAATTGTTATTCTTGAGAACGGGCATATGTTACTGGGGATAGGAGACGCTGCTCCCTCCAGCCTGCAGTTCTTCTGTGGAGCAGGCTTTGCTCTGGCTGGTTACACTGTTCTGCTCCCTGGTTGGCTGTATAACAGTGCTCCTTTTATAGAGTTTATAGTGCACCTTGGAGCTTTCAGAATAAGATGTGGTATATAAATGTGAGTCATTACTATTACAAGGTCTGATTTTCCTTGTTTCAGGTACGACCCTTGAATACAGAAGGATCACTAAACCTTTTAGGCCTGGAGACAGTTAGATTAATATATTTCAAAAACAAAATGGCAGGTAAGTAAAGAGAAGCCAATTTTCATCATGCAAATTTTTGTTTAGAAAGAGCATTTTTCTTTGGTCTGTGCATTGTAGAAAGTGATCTCTCAAACATTAACAGCTTGTTAATTTGGGAGAAAGCCAAAGCTTATAGATTCCACAGTGATTGCAGTGATGTCTGCTAGGCAGCTACTCTGAACTCTTTTTTCCCTTTTGAATATTCAGTGAAGACTTGAATAAAGACTGGAAATAGAAAATAGAATGAGTAGACGCTCCATCCAAATCTGGGATCACCTGCCAGAACGCTATCTAAAAATGCCTGCACAATTAAAGGCTTTAATAGTGATCTTGGCAGTACTAGATTAAAATCAATATTACACTTAACCTAAAAAAACCTTTCCCAAAGATCAGAAGTAATATAATATTATGTATTCATAACTTGTTACTAAGGCCACATATGATTGTGTGCCAAAGTTTTAGCTTCAGAATTCTATTTTTTCTTTTTGAAGCCCATTTTATGGGCATGCTCCTGAGTAATTTCCTTAACCTTTTGTTTAACTTCTTAAGTGGAGAGGAGATGTACTTTGTTCTTACAATCAAAAGCTATAATTTTTTTAACCACTATTCTGAAAATAGTGGAAATAAACACTCTAGAAACGTATCATACTGTTGCTGGTGTCTCAGTGTTTATTTAAATTGCTAGCAAATTATTACAAAAGGAATGACAGTGGTAGAGAGGAGCAATATGGTGGATGTACCTATAAAGAATTTTCAAGTCTGATAAGGACTGAACATTGGAAGTAGAGCAAAAGAGAAAATAAAACCTGGAAACTGGAGGACGTAGGATCGGAAGTGAGTAAGACTGATGCTTTGCTTCTGTACACATCTCACTGCCTTTCAGAAAAGTTTGCCAAACAGTAAAATACCTCCAGATGTATCTCCTTAAAAGTCTGCAAGTTTTTTTCCTGAAGCTACTTACCTAGTAGATCCCACGCTTCATGAAATCTCTAGTTGGTCTTAAGGAAAGAAGAGATTTCAGTTCCATACAGAAACTGTTTTGGCAGTGAGCAGTAGGTGTTGAGTGTGTTCAAGCTTATTAACTGTAACCTTATAGTCTCCATACACAGAAAACAAGACAGAGCTCCTGTTATATGATTATCACTGCTATATGTTTCATGTCTTTAATAAAGAAGCCTTGGCCAGACCTACACATGTGGAAAAAATCTTCCTTTTCCCCACAGCTGCACCAAAATATATCAGTGTTCGAACATTTCAAAAGGGGTAGTCTCTCTGGAGCAGGGAATGAATGAAAAAGAATCTTGCACTGAGTTTCCAGACAGTTGGCAGAACAAGACTGCTCTAGTGATTTTCAGTGAGAACTGCCAAAGAAAGTTTGAGATAGAGGACTGAGATCCTTTCCTGCCCACCTAAATGTTTTGTTTGAAAGAATTGATTAGTGATATTTTGAGAACATAGTTGTGGCAGCTTGTGTTTGAAGAAGGGTTTAGTCTGTTGCTATATAACAGAATAGATAGTGACCAAGAAAACCAATAAGTCAAGGAGCATTTGTTCAGGTTTGATGGGAAACGGATTGTGTCCAACACTAGCAAGAGAAAATGTCTTTGAATTCAAATTCCATGAATACCTAATGAAGTGTCCCACCAGATCATCATATTTATATTGATTTCAGAGGGCGATGAACTGGTAGTTCCTGAGACGTCAGATAACAGCCGGAAGCAAATGGTTCGAAACATCAACAACAAGCGCCGCTATTCATTCAGAGTACCAGAGGAGGAGAGGATGCAGCAGAGGAGGTCAGTATTCAACATGTACTTGGCTTCTGTACATGCCTGTAGGCTCTGAAGGACAGTGACTGATGCCAGTGTAGTACTTCATTTGTTGCTTTCTGGAATGCATTTGGATGTTTCTGTCTCTCCACTACCACCTTAATCCTCAATGTTTAATTTGTGTTACTACCAGTTTGAATATGGGTATGCACTGGATACACAAGTATTCATTAGTTCCAATTAATTATGTGAAACAGCTGTAATTTGGAATGCATGTATCCACATACTGTATGTGGATAGGTGTACATAGGTGTACATGTATACTGTATATATAAAGATCAGTAATAAACACTTTGCAAAAGGAGATTGTGTTGCTAACTCTGCATGTGGATTAATTACTTTCAGACTCTGGTTCTGCTTTTCTTTCTGAAGGCAATTCTGCTCTCAGCAGTATTCCAAGATATCTGCTTCTTTGATTTGTAGATTTAACTACATAAACATTCTGTAAACCTCAGAAAACTCACCTCTTCAGAGGACATAGGACTTAAGGATGTGTTTGCAATAGAAGTCTTTACCAGGTCACAAATAATTTCCTAAATAGCAATAAAAATCATTCTGCACTACTCACAGCGTTCATAGAGGATGTTACTGACCATTTACTGTCACTCACTAAAGATAACCTGCTACTGTGCTAAGCTGCACTCCAAGAACTGAGTATTTCAGTTTTCTAACTTCCAGCATCTTCCACTGATGGCTGGCTCCCAGCTTTCCTTTCTTTTTGGCTCTGAGAAAAGTAACAGCTGTGTACGCTGAAGATAAAATTCCAGTTCTTGTCCTTGCCTTTTCTGAGGTTTGGTCTTTTAAAATTGTGTTTATTCTGAGTTCTGAAATGCATCCTTGCTATTTTGAAGACCTTTTAATTCTGACCACAGACTGAGAAAGGTACTGCAGTATTATTTTAATTCTATTTCCATATTTTGTACTTCATTTTCATCTCCACTTTGTAATACATCACAAATGAGTTCTACTTTTACTCATCTTACAGAGCTTTTTCTCAGCTCATAGTGGTTGTGTGTTCTCTGAATGTTAGTAACTACTGGGTGTGGGCTGTTAGCCTGCCAACAGCATTCTTTCATTCTGGCCCCTTGCCCTCTCTTCAAGCTGGAAGCTTGTCCATGCCAGTGCTGATAGCAAGGGTTTATTAGGGTTTACACAGTTAAATAATTAACTTCCATTTAAAAGTAGCTGTTAATCCAAACTGTACAAGAGTGATGAATGTCCATCCTCACCTCAAAATAAATGTCTGAACAAAGTATTTTCTCTTCCAGGGAGATGCTACGCGATCCAGAAATGAGAAATAAATTAATTTCTAACCCAACTAATTTTAACCACATAGCACATATGGGTCCAGGAGATGGTATACAGATTCTCAAAGACCTTCCAATGGTAAGTACAAAAGTACGTGTGAAAGTTACAGACTACAACAGAGGCTGCAAATAAGTGAGAGAAAGACAAGCACAATTTTAAGAAGTGTATTTAGAGTGTTGATGTATTTCATAGCAGGAGCTGAACATGCTCTGTTGTATGTGATAAAATTTAAATAAAGAGGATGACACTTAAGCATCGAGAGGAGGAGGAGTGGCTAATGTCTCCTGCGTTTTAAGGCAGGTTGGCCTCTCAGTGTTGGTAATTTTTATGACCCATATGAAGGGACAAAATTAAGAGGATTTGGGTCTGTGTTCTTCGTGGAAATTGAAAGAGAAATTTCTTTCTCTGTGAATTGTATTACTGTAAGTTCAGTTCCTTTCTTCTCTTCCCATCTTTAGCTCCACCTTAGCCTCTCTCTTTACAGCCTCTTTTCCTCAGACGGTGGAACTGTAGCAGTTCAACATTGTGTAGAGCCCAAATTTCTTTCTATGCTAAAGATGCTATTTTTCAGTTTCTGTCCAAGTTAACTAGTCTCAGTGAAATAGAACTTCTTACATAAAAATGAACCTTTTAAGTTGAAAAGTGGAAAAAGAAAACATGTAATAGCGCACACACACGATGGTTTCTACAAAACCATATGTAGGAAATATTCACCTGAAAGTTACTGAAATTTTTAATGAGCTAAAGGACAATTAATGTTTTGTTCATAGGAGAGTATCACGCTGCTTGCTTCAAGTTACCTTAAGCATTTGTTTGTGTGTTCTGTATTGTTTTTTTATACTTGTCCACAGTGACAGAGATGTGATTCAGAAAATGCTAATTAGCACTGTAAGAAAGATCAGATGATATCAGAAAGATCGAGTATCCAAGAGATAATGAGTACCACTGTAAGCCATGGGCATTAGTACAGAAGTGCTGTCTAAAATGATCATTGTTATTACTTGGGAGTTTGTGCAGAAAGCAGGAAGTAGATGCTGAAACTGAGGTTTTCAGATGCTGAAAAGCCCAAAGAAAACAACAAGATGACTGGAAAATTAAGTGTGCCATGCAGTTGCACTAGTTTAGGAGCTTAGGAGCATAACCTCTGCTCTCCAAATACTCATTTTACCTCACTTTTGCAGCAAATGGTACTTTTATGTTACACTTTTACCATAAAGTCTGCACATAGTACATGAGCCCTTCTGCCACTGTGTTTTTCTTAGGTGAGAAAATGCAAGGAAAGGAAAGGATTTACTTTAAATCTCCAACTACTGACACTCTGAGAAACCTCTCAATAACAAGTATATTCAGTGCCATTGAGCAACAGACAACATTGTGTGTATGTTTATAAAATGAATAAATAATGAAGGAGCTGGTTCTAGAAAACACATGGCAAATCCAGGGGAAGTTGGCAGGTAGTGTTTCTCTTACCTGGATGTGTGTATAGATATGTCTAATGTTAAACAAAGAATGAGAACTTGCTTCAGGGCAGGATGTAGATGAGAACCTTTTTTTACTTTACCAGTTCTGATGGGTTCTTTAAAGTATTTCTGGCTCTTCTCAAGCAGGGAAAATAATCTTCTACTGCTAAAGGTAGGGCAAAAGACATCCCATTTCACACCATCAGTAGTTGAAAGTTCATGGCAATCAAAAGCTGCAAGGACTCTTAATCAAGACCCAAATCTGGCAAGTGTAAAATGAGGAATGATTTTATCTATAGAAGGGGATTTTCTAGACTTACGGGGATTAATATTTCTTCAGGTATGTCATCTCTAAATGGCTTTTAGCTTTAAATTCATTCTAAGTATGCAAGGCTTGTATTAGCTTAAAGGTCATATTTGAAGTTAGGACTGGTACTTTGCTTCTTACCAATCAATATGATGTTCTGAAAGAAGTTAATGAGTCACTTTCCACTCTTAAATGTGATGAGAAGACAGTAGAAAATGTGTACAACATAGAATTTATTTCTGCACTCGTTCCACTGCTGCAGCTTCTTTTTAAGGTTACTATTAAAAACTCCTTTTTGCAAGTAGGTATCAGTCTCAATGCTGGGAGGTATCACTGCAGGTAAAGCAAGGCTGTGTTTTTCCAGCAGCTCCTTGCAATATCATACTGTATTTGTATTCCTAACTTAACGGAAACAGAGTTGTGTCAGTCATGGGACTTGAAAGTGTGTGAATTTGAAAGTGTAATTTAAGATTAGGAAATAAATGTTCTGTCAAGAGCTGCTTCGGTCCAGGCATCTTTTTATTTTTCAGCAGCTTCCTGTAAGGTATTTGGCTGGACTAAATTTTCATTTAGTCTCTTCCAAACTACCTACTTTGTTTTTCAGGCACAAAAATAGAAGAAAGGGAGTTGTGCATGCATATGATGTTATATATTGAGTCTAATATTTTATGTGAAAGATAAATTTAGAATTAGAAGATAGAGAGGACATTCCCTGGAGAATCAATACAAAAAGTAAAGAATATTTATCCAACCCTGTGTATGGTTCATCTGTATGGTGGGTTTTTTTATGAGGACATGGAATTATTTCTATAAATTAGAGATTTATGCCTTGTTCCTAAAAGGTGAATAGATTTTTTTTTTTTTTTTTTTCTCCAGGAAAGATTGCAGCATTTTACTTTGCAAATGCCTCTTTCTGTATGTGAAAGTGGGTGATTAAGTATGTTTTTGCTTTTAAAGAGGGCTACCATTAGGGGGAACAAGTAGTGCAAGGCTAATAGTTTTCTCAAATTCTCTTCATCCAACTATTATAGGTGATACAGCTTCTTTTTTTATGAGATGCTGGAATGCAGAAAGTGTATGAAAGAATGGAGTGGGCATTTTTATTTGCAGTTTCTTCTGACTTATTTGAAGAATTTCAAATTTAGCTATATCTACTGGTACAAATTTGTTCATCCAGCGTGACCTTTCACTGAAGTCAGTATAGTTCTATGTAGGCAGAAGGGTCTTTAAGTAATAAATAGGTTTTAATAGAGAACAGATATTTTCATCTGTGTTGGATGTCACAAACTAAATAGCCAGTTCAGCGTAGCTTTCATCCAACATCCATGGATGAACTTTACAAAGCAAGTGACAGTTTTAATATATATGTATGTATTTATATTTATTTATTAATATATACATATTCACTTTATATATGCAATGTGAATCCAATCAGAACTTACTTCTGCAGTCCCACTAAGCTGCCTCTGCTGCCTTTTTCAGGGGAAATGCCAAAAATTGAACGAAGCGCCAAAAATTGAACAGTGGTCCTTGCACGGCTGGAGGGGGACGTACGCTTAATCCATGGCATAACTGCCTGGTGGATGCAGAGCCAATGGGACGGTTGCTCTCTGCCCACTACTGTTCTTAATGGCTTTTAAAAGACCATCTTTAGAGAGTTTAATTTGTATTGTATACATACAGAATGAAAATTGGATAAATGTAATGTTTTAAACTCTTTCAGGCTAATTGATATGGTGTATCAGATGCTTACGTATGTGCAGCGTATCTGTCTGTGTGTGATTGCCATTGCTGAGGCAGCCACACAAGGGGGAAAGATGCTTTCTCTGTGCGTTGTTTCCAAAGTCTTGGTGTTACCCGGTAGGCACGACATGAACAGCGAGTTATGTTTATGGCAAACTGCAGTCTGTCTCACCTTGTTCTCTCCATGAATGGACGCTCTTGACTTCAGTATGGCCCTGTGTTTGGGCAGAAATCAACATGCCCAAGGCTCAGAGTGAGAACAGAATTAAGAGAGAAAATATTAGAGGTTATCAGGCAATTGTAAATTTGCATCCTTCTTTTCTTCATGGCGAGCAGTTGCTCAGGAGTCTGACTTCGACAAGCAAGTTTGTGGGCTACAGCACAACAGAAAACAGAAGTTCTTGTTTGCTGTTAACTAAGCTGTAATCAGTACTTATTTGTATTTTATTGATGTAGATACTAGATCTGGGTCATTGTCTTGTTTTGTACAATTTGGAAACATTCCTGTTAGTGTATCCCCAAACTTATTTATTTACATGTTTTTCTTCCCTAGCAGCCTGTCACCAATTAACTGGCCGTACAGTCTGGCCTCCCTTCTGTCCTCTTGTCCCTTGAAGCCACTTTATCGTGGATGCTCCTTTGTAGTGAAGATCTGAAATCTGGAACTGCACTTACTGCAGCACAGACCACCTCTCTGTGTACATCAGATGTACAGGATTAATTTTGCTTTCATATTCTGCATGCCTGAGTACTTTACATACAAAAGCTAGTCTTGACTGCTGTTATATTTGAACATTACGCTTCAGTTCGACCTCATTATACATGAGCCATTATACTTCCATTCGAGATGATGTGTGAAGCTTTGCTTGTTTCAAATGAGAAACTTTTAGAGTAAATGAATACTTATCTGTATTTGGTATTCTTTAAAGAAAGTGGGAACCCCATGCATGCATCTGATGGTGGAGTCCATGGACAAAGTTCCATGGAGGATTGTTTTGAAAATGTTGCCATAATCGTGGCTTTCTCTCACTCATGAATGCTGGCTAAATATTTTCATGGTCTGCAGTTGGCCTACCCTCTGCTTTTTAGCTTGTAATTTTAGACACTCCCTTTTCTCCCTTATTGGCTTTTAGGAATGTAGCTGGCTTTGCTGGCAGCTCTCTGTTGTGAGCAGATAACTCAGCAAAGTCTGCTTTCGTGGACCATTCTTGGAATGGTGGCTTATTGTACTGATACTTAGATGCTGCTAAACTTACTAATAACAATTTAATATATCTTAAGTCTTATATGCCATAATGTGGTACTTGATGTTTTGGTTAACATGCAAAGCCTCATAATAACCATGTGTGTTTAAAAAAAAAAAAAAAAAGGTTGGATTTTACCAGCTGAAATGAAGAGAACAGTAACAATTATGTTTGATAATATGTGTTGGGATGTGACTTAATGTTCTTCCAGACTTTAATACGTTCCACATACAAAAAAGTAGTGCCTTAGGTTTAGCGGAGAGGTAAGCTGTATTTTTACCATATTTTATTTTTGTAAGTCCTAACATTTCTAATGTTACTCAG